GGGGCAGGAGAACCTCCCTCGACCTGCTGGCCACACTCTTCTTGATGCACCCCAGGATTTCCATCAGGACAAGCATGTGGGACGGTGCCTTTCGTGGGAGCGTGGTTGTTCGCTGTTCCTTGGCCATGCCTGCGCCCCGTGGTGCTGCAGACACGATGTCCTCCCGGCATGGGATGGTGGGCAGAGACCAGCCCAGCTCTTTCTGCCTCCCTTGCTTTGCGGGGATGGTTATTTTCATTACATTGGGATTTTGTCCTGGGGTAAGACTTTACTGCAGTAGCTTTTCCAACAGCGAGCAAGCAGCTCGTGTATTTTCCCTTGCAGAGCCCCGTGGCTGTGGGCAGAGGGACTGTGGGAATGCGAGAGCGGCTCCCCTGGGACATTGCTCACCCCATGGTTCCATGTGAACCCAGAACGCCCGTCTGCCCTGCCACGTCCTCGCAGGTGCCGGGCATGCCAGAACTGCAGTTTTAGAGATGTCAGGGGCTGTAACCGAAAGAACAGAGTGTGAATCCATCCTGCTTTTCAGTCTACCCCAAAAGCCAAGCAACTTGGTTAACAACAGCTCAGCTGCTTCTTTTCAAAGAAAAGACATAAAATAGCTTGTTTTTCAAAATTTTATCAATTGACATGTACTGCAAATGCTTAAAACAGACCCCAAACTCTGATATTGTTGCTGGAAAGTTGTGCTCATCCAAATTTTCATACTTTGTTCTGTGACATCTCAGTATTGTATAGGAGACAAGCTGCTGCCAGCCTAGGATTTCATTTAGACTAGTAAAATTTTCAGAGAAGAAAGAAGTACTTCTGTAAATATCACGGCATCAAGCGGCGCCTCTGGAAGCTTCCCAGAGGCTCAGAGCAGCGGAGCCGGAGGTGTGCAGGAGTGAGGGGTGTTGCAGGTGGATGCTCCATGGTCTGTAGCTTGAGGTGCGCGTAGGTGCAGATTTAGGCTCGCGTGGCTACTAATCCTAATGGATCCTTTTAAAAGCAGACCACTTTGGTTGTTCTCTCCAAGTGCTGATTTTCCCAGATTGACTTCCAGCGAATGCTGGCTGTAAAAAAATCAAGCTGCTGTCTAGGAATGTCTAACTCCTGTTGCAAAATAATTCTCCCTCTCATTCTGATTTATTTGTATGGTATAATTCCCATAGCAATTCCCCCTGTTACTTCTATAAATGATCCCAGTACAAAAGCAGATGAGAAATGAGCAAAAAAAAAAAGAAAGAAAACTGCAGCTTCTGGGTTGCAAAGCCACAAAGCAGAGGGGAGAGAAGGAAGAGGAGCGATTCAGGGGTGTCATTTAACTCTTTGTGTTGTAATTGACTACATTTCAGGTCAACCATGCCTCACTTAAATCTCTTCCTTTTTCTCAGTCCCCACAGAAGTGTTTGTACAGAGCAGGGGAATATCATACATTCCTCCTTGCAGCTTTCTCAGGGCTGGCTTTCTTCTCCCTTCTCAAAATCAGTCCTTCAGCCTAGCAGAAAAGCATTAGGAATCCAATTTTTGAATGCTTTTGTTACCTGCATTATTGAAAATCCATTCAAGCAAATATACTGAGCTGAGGGTTTTCTTTATCTTGATTAGATGCCCCTCCTTAGCTGCATAGTCTTGAAATAATTGGAAGCTTTTGTGGATTCCACTATCTGCTCGGGAGAAAAGAGGGGCTGGACAAAGGTATCCCAGCCCGCAGCCCGCGTCGAGTATCGTATCATATCATCATTTATTGTAATAAGCAGCGATGCAAACTACAAGGAGAACTTTCCCACCGGCAAAAGCCTTCCCAGGTGTGGAAACATGGAAACGTGATGCTTTTTCGGAGAGCAAAGCAGAGCTGGATGCAACCGTGCTGTTCACGTGCGCCGTGTCCATACGACTCGTGTGCACATGTGGTGCCGGTGTCCGTGCCGGGCGCTCAGCTCCAAGATATCCCCGATGGCTGATTGCGAAGGGGAAAATAGTGATCAGAGGCAGAAGGTACAGGATTCCTCCACCTGAACCTGTTCGGATGAGATGTGCTGGTGCTTGTGGCTGAAGCAGCTGCGTGGATGTTCGCTAAGAGGTGGTGCTGAGGGATGCTGGCAGAAGTTTAATTTTTATCAGCTCCTCTTAGGTGGCACCCTTAAGTTTATCAAACAAGCAAAGCTGATTTGCTCTTCGTTAGTCTCAGTTGCATGAATCAGTTGCCAAGTAAACAGGATTTTGCATTTTCCTAATTACTTTCATATTTGTGTTTTACCTCTATTTGTTCTCTTGCAAAACTAGTCCTAATAATTAGTCAGGCTCCTGCTGCTTGGACCTTAAAAAAGAAGGGGTGGGGGGGAGGAAAAAAAGACTTCTGAGGGTTTTCTCTCCCTTATAAATTCATTTTTGTTACAAGCATCTTTTATACATATTACTAAAGGGAGCGCACTAAGAAATGCAAATAATAGTTCTTTATTTTATTATGACAGTTAATTAATAGCAACCTGTTTTAATGAATAAAGTCACTCAGAGTCCTTCAGCACTTCCTAAGTAGAGGCCAGAATCTGTAGGGATTCTTTTTTCCCCCCCATTGTATAGCTCCGAGACTCCGCGCACTATATAGGGCCTGTATAGAAATGCTCGCTAATGAAGAGGGAGGGCGAGGAACTTGTCTGCATTCAAAGATCACTGGTGAGTCATTCAGCGAGAAAAGGCCCCTTGCTAGGAATAGTCACAGTTCCGCGGCATTGTGCTAGCAAAAGGGTTTGATCAAAGGTCTCCTGCCGAGCTTGCATGGTTTCCTTTCATACGACGACCATAATTAAAACCACTAATTCTCTTTTAAAATGCTGCAGGATGCCATGTAGGCATCTGTCTGGAGTGTCCTTTGTGCTGTCGGGAGCTGTTAAGGACCAGCGCCGAGGGCTTTTCAGCGACATGCCAGTCAGGAAGGTGATTCGACATAAGGGTGCCTCTGAAGGCTTGACAGGGCCTTGACTACACAATTCCAGCTGAATTTGCCCCTTGTCAGCTGCCAGTAAATAAATCTCAAAGAGAAGGGGAGGGAGGGGGAAAGCTGAAGTTTCATTACCTGATCCCCGGGGCTTTGTTGGTTTTGGCATCGCCCAGGGGGAAGCCCTTGCCCCCTTGGGGCCGGGGAGCTGGAGATGGCCATTGGAGACCCCAGCGCCCGGCCGTTTGAAGACCGTCAATACTTGTAACAGTTCAGCTGTTAGGAAGACAAATAAATGGAAGAGCCCATTAATCCCCTTTGGGTACTCGGTGCCTTTTGCCCTTTTATCGCAGCCTTATTAGGTTCCTACTCATCTTGAACCAGGAGGGATGAATTGAAGTTGTTGAGCGCTAATTGGCAAAGACTTTTCATCGCGGGCCAAGAACTTTCACTGACTTGAAAGTAACTTCGCCACGGGGAGGATCAGCAAATTCTTGCCTCGCCATTAAAACAAAACCCCCAAATCCCGTTGGGATTCAATGTGGCGTTTAAAAAAAATTAAAAAAAAAGGAGGCAACTGCTAAATTGTGGATTTGTCCTTCATGAGGATGTTGGCAACTTATATTTGCTCTTTAAAAGAGAGTCATGGAGCCAGATGTGGCACAGGGCGATCCATCCTGAAATGCATTTGAAATCCACGTGTCTTACATGTGTACGTGTGCATTACCAAAACCTGCTCGCGGGCCAGGCTTCTCAAACACAGCCTGGGAGATGATCTGTAAGGTGGCACCATCATTCTTGACAGTTTGCAACCACTCAAGGGTCGAGCAGAGCGGTGCTGAGGTTTCTGTATGCCCAGGGACAAATCTGGCTGCCCTCAAGTCATCTCTGGGTTTGGTGGCGAGATTTATAGATGGGAAATACTTCAGCATAGAGGCACTTGGATGTTCTCATGTGAATTGCTTTTTAATGTTTTTTTTGTAAATGCTGTGTTAATTTGAACATACCTATTGCCCTCTCTCCCTGTCTCCCTCACTGAATATATTAAATACAGAATAAAACTTTTGCCAG